CTTAAAGCAGTTGGGGAACAAAAACAGAAATATTAGAGTAAACTTCAAGGAGATGGCAGAAAGGAATGTTTTCACAGATATTGAAGCAGCAGCACTAGTTACCCGAGGCCAAAGACTCCAAGGCTGTGGAAGAGTGGGGCTCTGAGGGGACAGCTGCTGCGGGAAAGAAGCCCAGGATTCTGCAGTGCTACCAATGGCCTGTGCTCAGGAAATAGAGGTTGAACCCAGTTGAGACAAAGGGAAGGCTCTGAGGAGCTCATGATCTGGACACATCCCAGAGAAGGAAGTAACCGAAGTCACAGTCGTACAGGAGACAAATGTCTGAGATTAGGCATGTGGGGCTTAAAGGAAAATTAAAGGATAGATTCATTTTCAACATGTAAGTGGATACCAAGGGAAAGAGGGAGCCTCAAGTATGCCTGTGGATGAGGGTGCCTATTTTACATTTGTGAATTTTTCACAAAGACACGAATACTTCAAAGGTCATTCTCCAAGAAGAGGAGGCAGAATGCATAGACTGGATTGTTTCTCCCAGGACATAGGAGGCAGAGTGCAAAATTAACCTCTTGTTGCTTTTTCTCAACACGACAGTTGATTCTAATGAACTGGTATTGTAAAGACTGAAATAAAGATTTTACTTTTACTTTTTGATGTGCTTCCTTTCCTGCTTTCTCATCAAATAATCACATCTAAGCAATAGTCATTTGTTAGTAATAGTCATATTTTGATGTAGGAGCCTGGACTTGCTTATGTTTTATAAATTCTATGGGTAGGGCTGATACTGGGATTTTGCTCAAATGCCTTCTAAGCAGGGGTCCCCAAATCTCAGGTCACACACTAGTACCTGCCTGTGACCCATTAGGAAGTGGGCTGCACAGAAGGAGGTGAGCAGTGGGCCAGCAAGTGAAAGTTCATCTGTATTTATAGCCACTCCTCATAGCTTGCATTACCGCCTGAGCTCTACCTCTTATGAGACCAGTGGTGCTATAGATTCTCATAGGAGCTCGAACCATACTATGAACTCTACATGTGTGTGATCCAAGTTGTATATGAGAATCTATTTATTGCCTGATGATCTGAGTTAGAGTTGAGGTGGTGATGCTAGCACTAGAAAATGTGATTATTATGTATCACAAACATATACTAATATAAAAAGAAACTAAGTCTACCAACACCATAAAAAAAAATCCACCTTCCATGCAATGAGTTCCTGGTGTCAAAAAACTTGGGAACTAAAAACAAACAAACAAACAAACAACAACAACATAAAAACTTAGGAAATGTTCTTCCAAGTGACTTTCTGGAAAAATTGGAATACTAGAGAGATTCAAGGGAAGGGGTCAGTTGAACTTTGGCGGGCCTACAATAGCTACCCAGTCCTGGGAGGCTGCTGCTGCTCTGCAAGCAAGGCCCCTGATAACTTCTGGGAGAGCAGTGGGAGCATGCTGTCAGAGAAGGAGCTCAGTAGGAAATCAGAGAGCACAGAGCTGTAGACTGACATTTCTTTGAATTTTAATTTATAAGAAGAGGATTTTATTTTGAACGTTAATTTCTCTCTGGGTACTTATTAACGGGAGATTCATATCCAAATGTACTATACAGCACTTGGGCCTTTTATGCTATCAAATCCTGCATGTAGATAACTCTACTGAGCTACATGAGGAAGAGGAGAGAGTGAATTTTGGCTTAGGGCACCTAAGGTAACCTAATGGTCATGAATGAACCCTTCTGATTTATCCAGAGCCATTCATGTTGAATTGTTTCTTTCACGGGTTCCAGGAAGACAAATAAGGACAGTGGTTCTTCAAAGCATGTGGCCCTTGGTACTGCCATGGCCACAACTCTTTATGTCTTCTCACTTCCCATACCGCCTCGTGTGGCCTTGGATGTCTGCCTAAGAATAGGAGCCATAGGCTGTATCTCATTGGGCTCTGAGGTCAGTACATCGACTTCTTTACATGTGAAATGAGCTAGATTTTCTGCAAGAAATGAGAGGAGAGGCCCCATAATGAAGACTTGTTCTTTGGGGTTGTCTGATTCAGACAGCCAGGTTAAAACCTGCTCCATGAGATTTGCCGCAAAGTGATTTAAAAAAACTGACTTCTCATGCCACCCTTCATGGAATGATGTGAACACAGAAAAGAGGCTATATTCTTTATGTCAAACAGCCAGGCAATTGATATTTTGCTGCATTTCTGCTTCCAGAGTGGGGAAGAATAAGCACGTAGGAATACATGGTTGGGAGGCGTGGTGTGAGCCGATCAGATTTTGTGATTTTGACCTGCTATGGTCTAAATGTTAGAGCCACCCCACCCCAATTATAATGTTGGAACCCAATATGCCAGGTAATGGTGTTCAAAGGTAAGGCCTCCGAGACATGATTAAGCAATGAGGATGGAGACCTCAGGAATGAGATTAGTGCCCCTACAAGAGGCCTGAGGGACCTCCTTGCAGTATGTGAGGCTATAGAAGTGCTATCTGAGAGACAGGCCCTCACAAGACACTCAATTTGCTATCCCCTTGGTCTTGGATTTGCTGAGCAGTGAGCAATACATTTTAAAAAATAAATTACATAGGGCCGGGGATTTAGCTCAGTGGTTCCACTGCCTGCCTCGTAAGCTCAAGGACCGGAGTTCGATCCCCGGTGCTGGGGGAAAAAAAAAATAAATAAATAAATTACATAGTGTAAGATATTTTGCCACAGAACCCCTAAAAAACTAAGATACAAACCTACATGGTGTGAGGAAAATAGAATACTTATGAATGTTTAAGTTAAAAAAAAATTATTACACTAAAAGACACATTGCCATGGATCCTCCTCAAAAGTACTTTGAACAGGCCCAGGGATTTAGCTCAGTGGCATCCCACCTGCCTTGGAAGTGCAAGGTCCTGAGTTCAATCCCCAGTACCAAAAAAAAAAATACTTTGAACACTTACTCCATTGATGTTGCCACTTTCCGAAGCAGTTCTAGAAGTCCTCTTTCATGACTGCCTTTAGGAGATGTAAAAAAAAATATGCTGAATGTTGCTACCAAGTGCCATCCAAATGAAAAGCAGGCTTGAAAAAACATTACAGTGTGTTCTCATCTACCTTATTTATCAGGGCTGGAATTGTGTGCCTTCTGACACTTTCTTGAAGTCAAAATGAGCACGGAAGGTAAATTTGTTGAATCTATTCAGGACAAGCCATCACTGTGTAGCTAGACTTAGGAAAGAGTCCATCATCCATTCTCTAGAGTGACTGCTGGCCACCAGGCTGGATCCTGTGAGCCAGCTATATAAACATGGGGATGTGACCTCCAGAAGGGGGGAACAAGGCTATCTGAACATATCACAGCCCTCCCCTCTGACGACAGGTTTGGTGCTAAGGCCCGAGTTTAGAAAACAATTGGAGGATGTTGGAGAAGAGGGGTTGTTTCTCTTCCCTTCTCACATTTCTATAGACAATGCACTTCTGTTTCCTCTCCCTGAAGGGGCAATGATGGAGTGACTATCTCTGATCCCCGTGATACTTCTTTCTTGATCCTTCCTTCGGAAGAGTAAGGAAGCTGTGTCTGACTTGATGGCTAGAAATATTTCCACTTGGAGCATGGCCAGTCAATTAGACAGCCTTGTTTTTGGCTCTCACTTATCTTGTAGGCCATTAGGCAAGCTATCCAAACACTACTACTTAGTGTTATTCCCACAAAGTGGTTGCCTAGCCAGTGACGACTTTTCCAGGTCCCCACTTGAACGCCTAGCACTTACATTTAGGAAAGAGTGAAAAAGAGGTCCTGGTAAAAGTTTTTAAGAAGTGGGTGAGCTTTCGTCAAACTCTTTCCTTTCTGCTCCCTCAGTGAAGAAGTCCAGATATTTCTACATTGGATGAGTCACAAAAGGGAAGGAACTGGATTTCTGAATCACTGCACAGAGAAGAGGCAACTTGAACAAAAACATTTGTATGAGGCTATTATATAAGTGAGAAATAAACTTATGTTATATTTGAGGCACTGTGCATTTCAGTTTAGTTCCCTCCAGTTTAGTTCCACTCTCAGTAATGCACTAGATGGGGAAGATAGGTCCACGATTCTCCATGCAATTAGAAAAGGGAGTAGTTTGACCCTACTTTGCATCCATAAATGTGTATCAATATTTAGATGTGAAGAGTGCCAAATCATTGGCATACAGCTTTTTTAGTTTAGAGGCCACTAGGTGCTTAGCTTGTCCATTAATAAGTGATCATTTGGTCCCCAACTGACTTCCCACTTCTTGGATCTAGTTTCTGTGGATTTGAATTGTGATGGGGATAGGACCTAAGTGACTGGTAGCACAAGTTTAAATTCAGAGGGGCTCTCCCTCTTCCTAGAAAAATGAGAAAGCAATGCTCATTTAGAGGAACAACAATGGTTTTAGAAGAAGAACCTGTCAACAGCCAGACAGGAAGCTCCAGGGATGGGAAGTTGATATTGTACGCTGAGGTAGAAGGTGAAACATCAATCCTGTAGCTGCAAAAGTCAAGGGCTCAGTGGAGACAGACTATTGGGAGAGACGCTTCTATAGGATACTAGACATAACCGAAAGCAGGCATATGTCAGACCTATTGGAGTGACAGGTAGAGTATTTCTGAGAACATACAAATGAATGTTACTTGTATCCTAGATTCCTTTCCCTGAACAATCTCTTGGGGACCACAGACTTTTTTATGGACAGATCACTGCAGGCAAACAAAAGGAAAGGAGAACCACTAGGCAAAGACTTAAATACTTAGGGTTTGCTGTCACAGACGCAGAGAAAAGACGATGCTCTGCCTTCCTGGAGTACAGCTTATGTTTGCCCATAAGTAACTCCTTCCTTCCATCAGGTAGGTGGTCCATGAGGTTTTGGCCTCACTGCCATGGTATGTAGGTCTTAAAACTGTTGGTTAGGGCAATCAACCATAAACCACAGTAACCCAGGTCTTTTTGTGGAGAAGAAGTTGCCAGCATCTAAGAGAATAAATTTAGACAAAATACAAATATATATACTTTTTTGCAACAAAAGAAACTATTTATTTGGAATATGCATTACCAGTACAAATTAGGAGACTGTAAAACCTACACCATGTTAGTATCATTAGAGAACACAAAAGTTCAAGTTGGAATCCAGAGGGACAGAAAAGCCTGTGCTCTCGCAGAAGCAGGAAAGCTTAAACTTTCAAAACCAAAACAGAGCAGAGCTTTGCAGGTTTATACTCTGAATAACAAGAAAAGGGGACGGGGAGAAAAGTGGGAGATCAAACCAATAGCCAAAGGAAAGCACTTCAAAATGAAAACACCAAAGGAAAGAAAAGAAGTAATAAGAGAGAAGAGGGGTTGGGGACATTTTTTTTTAACAAAAGAAAAAAAAATGTTTACAAAAAAAATAAGTTTCCAGAAAGCTTTGAGCTAGGGATTGAAACCATAAAGGTGATGTGAAAAGCTCATCATTATTTTGTTGAGTTAAAAAGAGTGCCATGTATTTGTGTGGGGATGCTTCCTAAAGTGTTATTCCAAAATTCTGCATTCTTTCTTTATGTTTCTTGCTTGAGAGATGTCTAAAATTAAGTTTCTTCCAGATACTATTGCTTTCTTTTTTCCTGTAACTAATAAAAACATTCCGAACCAATCTGGCTTTGCAATTTGCTTTAAGAAGGCTTCTAGATTAGAGGTTAAGAAGACATGTACTGTCAGTTACCCAGGCTTAACTTTTCAGCATTGAAACTATAGCATCAAGTCTGGTTCAACAGCTCATCACCACCTCTTCATCCAAAGTCAGGATGTAGGATCAGCAGGAAGACAAGCCCGAGGGTCTGGTTCCTGGATGTACTCTATGAAGCCCATGGTGTCTACTGAGCCAGTATCTTCTGTGGATTTTTTTGAAAGAAAACTCCTCTCTAGTTGGAAAAGATTTCAGGGAATGTTGTTATTAATCAGGGAGAAAGAAAGCACTTGATTGTGATATTCAGAATCAACAAAGGCAAAAACTGCTTCCTACAGTATAAAAAGACCTCCTGGACAATTCCTTAAATTTTTAAAGAGCCAAAAGGGAAAACAAGTCCCAGACTATTTTTCTCAGGGACTACAGGAGTCCTACATATCCTGGAAATGAAGGTCAGCAATGAGACATCAATGTGGTTTTTGTGTTTCTTTGACATCAGCTGAATTCTGCAGCAAAGTAGAGAAACAAGGAAACATCCTACTTATCTACCAATGTCATCTTTTCACATCACCTCGTATACATATTTAATGAACAAAAATAGCAAGATCGTAATCCTGACATTTAAAAAAGCCCCCCCATAAACAAACCAAAAATAAACACAAAACAAAATTTTTTTTTTATATATTTAAGAGCAGGAATAAAGAAAAGAAAAGAATTTATTTCTGGGTCTCAAAGTTAATAAACATAATAATGTGTTAGGTTGTACCTATTATGCTCACTATTCCAACCTTGTTTTTTTTTAGTTTACAAAATGAATTACTGTCACTTTTTAAACATTGTGAAACAAGAAATGAATGTGCACAACGACACTTTTCTAGCATTCTTGAACTAATTCACAAATGCAAGAAAATAAAAGAAAAATGGGGGAAATGATGAATGTAGGTAGTTTGGTATTAAAAACTAATGCAGGAATGATGCGTATTGTCACAGAAAGGGGAAATCCCCATCTTGTTTTGCGTGCTATGAGGGTCATTTTTAAAATTTTTATTATAAACACTATTAAATTCAGACCGCTTTTTTGGTTTTTTTCTTTATCTGAATATACAAGAACATTCATTATCAAATGTTCATCATCAATACTACAAAGAACAAGACACAAGTCGCAAGAAACAATGGAAAATGTTAATAAAGCTGAAAGAATCATTGAGTATTTTTTTGTTTTTTTTTAAAGTTTTTTTTTTTAAATTTGAATTTCTGTAGTTTCATCTTTTTTGGTATCGAAGTCAGGTTTTTCTGGGCAGAAAAATAAAGAGCAGAAGGAAAGTGGGGAAAAACGTGTGAGAAAAGGCAACCAGCAAATAAAGAACAACCACCACAGCAAAATAAAAAATAAATCAAAAGAAGGTGCCACGTGGCCAAAGTACTGCCCAGGAGTCAATTCCCCGCCAGAGGGAGGAGTTAGGGATGGAAAGAAGGATACCATGAAGAGTTACAGGTGGGCAAACCGAAGGTCTATTATCATTTCCTGGGGGGAAACTGCGTCACAGAAAAGGGAGCACTTTCATTTTCATTAGAAAATGAAGAAATCCCTGGGCACATTTTGGTGTCTTGTAGGACTGACCTGCTACCAATTCCCAGGGTGTGTTTTCAGAGGTGTGCTCTTCCCACTCCACCCTTCAGCTGCCACTGGAAGCTCCAGGTAACGTGGAGATCTGTGGCCGCCATGTTGGATGTGACTGTGGGCTTTGAGAGGAGGCTATGAGAATGGTGTTGGATGTAAAGGGGACCTAGTAACGTGCTGGGTGGGGAAAATGCTGTGCAAGGTGACCACCAGTGCAAACTGCTGCTGGAGGAGAAATTACCTGTGCAAATGTAGCACTGCTCTGAGCGTTTTCATTAACTTAATGTGGCAATCATTCAATCCAGGGTGAGAGTAATTCTTATTTCCAAGAGAAACTTTCTATGTCTCTTACATACTTCACCCTGTCATATGATGTGATCCAAATGTTTTCCTGTATGCTTAGTTCCCATATGTTTCTGCCTCTAAGACAAACTTTTCCATGGTTCTCATCACTACAGAGTCGTCACAAAGATGTGCCTTCTAGGCATCCTATTCACCTAGCCCTGTTCTGAATATAGCATAGGTTAGTAGACATAGTCTTTCTGGTGTCCTTGGTCATCTAGGCATAACTGCATTTCGCCTAATATTTACTTTTTGGATTTTCTTCAAATACACACATCCTATTTCTTAGGTAGCATCCCCACCTTCTCCAAGCACACACAAAGGAGGAGTGGTCATTACTGCAGTAGTATGGAGACTTTTCACAACCTTGTCTGGCCATCCTTACCCTTCAGGTCTCCTAAACCTTCCTGGAAGCCTCTCGAGTGTAGTGGGTGTGACTGGAGCTGGCCAATTACTTTAAAGGCTATCTACTAGATTCAAGTAAAAATAGAACCAAGTCCTATTGTCCTAGCTGGGAAGCTTTCTTCAACCCTAAGAAACCAAACAGACCAAAATCAAACCAACCCCCACCCCAAACCTAAAAATCAACTCTTTGCCGTCATGGCAAAGACATCAGGGTACAGATGGTAACCAGAAGTTAGATCAAGAAAACCACTTATTGTCCTGACAGAGCACAAACCAGTTTATCTTAGGGATGTTGCCTCCCCTAACTTCACATATTCAGATTGATGATGAATGAATTCAAGTTATTCAGTCTCTCACATGCCTGTTGGTGAGCCAAACAGAATAATTCCCATTTTACAGATGAAGAAAATTAGGCACCAAAAGATTTGACCACCTCCTACTTAATCAAGTGATAGAGCTGCTATCCTTATTGCTGGCAGAATTGGCAATGAAGAATGTAAGCTCAGGTGACATCAGAGAATAACTTTCTGGTATTTGCTATTTTCTCTTAGAAAATCCCGGAATACAAATCAATACGATGATTTTGATGAAAACATTATCACCCCTTCCCCATGCTTCTCATGTCATCAAATTAAGCTAGTAAAACGTTCACTTGAACCACGTTCTGATGCCTCTCTCTCCTCCACAGAAAGAGGTGAGCATCAAGAACTTGATGCAGTATAATACTTTGGATAATTAATACAATATGCCTTATAGAAAAACAAATAAAACAAGCAAATCGATTACAGACATTTGTAAGTACTGTGTGTGGCTCCCTGAGAGCTCCAAAAGTGGTAAGAACAGGAGTAGCTGACCCTGGAAAAGTGACCTTCATCGAAAGAAAGTCCTGTGCATACTACACTGGTGAATGTGAGCTGGTCCTAGAAGCCCCAGGCACGTATCGCTTCTCTGTGTCAGTGACCTTCACTCGGAGCTGCTAATTCCCTCTCTTAAGCTTACCAGAGAGTGCTAGGATTGTGAATGTAGGCGTTTGCACATGGCATCTTGGGAAAGTAGTAAAGCTGTGAGAGTGTGCATGTATCCCCACGTGTGTGCACAGGTGTGAAGGGCAATGGAGGGTTTCAGGGTCAGAACCTTCTACTCCTCACTGATGCCTTCATCACTAGGCCTCACTGAGGCCTGCTTTGCAGTCGGGTTTGAACATTGCTTCCTAGGTGTGGAATGGTTTCCAGAGACTGTGCCTTTGACACTGGCAGCTGTTCTGAGGAGGGGGAAAACGTCTGTAGGAATTTTGTCCTTCCTGTTCCTCCTGGCCTCCCCTGCTGTCTAACTCCCTGCCTGGGAATCCACCTAGTAGAGCTGAGATTAGAAATTGGGGCACCTGAAAAAGCCCACCTATGGCAGTCCCCAGTACCTGGGGCTGGGAAGAAAGAGGCTAGAGTTCCAATCAGGATCGGCCCCAGGGAGGAGGGGCAAAAGGAGACAGGGAGGCCTGGGATGAGGAGGGCAGTGGGGCGTATTCCTGCTAAGAGGTAGTGAGAGGAACAAGAGAAAGAGGAGGACTGCCTGTTAACATCGGGAGAGAAGGATCCGAGGGAGGCAAATTTGGCTCCTCAAACCACCAGCATGAAAACATACAAACACTTTTATTATTTTCTTCGTAATTTTGTTTCCTCTTTAAATTCCTCTAATTGTTGAAAATATCCTTCAGTGATGTGTTGGAGGGCAGGGACCCCAGGAGGCTAGAACAGAGGAGAGCAGGCAGGGAAGACGATGGAAACCAGGCTGAGAGCTGGAGGCAGGGGAGGGTGGCTTCTACCCAGAAAAAAAAGGGAAGAGAGTATAAAGAAGTGTCCAGATTGGCTGAAATAGCATCCCAAAGAAGAGAAGAGAAGGAGACTCTTATTGTGTTTGCTGATTGCTTCGACCTCCAGTCTGACCGCTTCAGCGTTGGGAGAGAAACCCTCCCTCCTGCCCCTGCCCCAACTGGGGCACAGGGTTAGCCGGGATGCGATTGCTGGGAGATCAGTTGGAGGTATCAGAGTGAACACTGCCAGGGCCTTCTGTAGGGGAGGTCACTGATGAAGGGGTAGTAGCATCCTGCCAACCTCCATTAGCCTAGAAGGGAAAAAGGGAGAGAAGTCAGTTCTCTGAGATTGGGTGGTTGTTTTGAGCAATGACAATGACAATGAGGCGACTGTGTAAAGGACCTAGCACAGTGTGTGGCACAGGGGACACTCATTACTGTTGGTGATAATATTCCCCCCACCCATGAGTGATTCACGTTCTCCTGGGGAGCCTCTGGGCACAAGGCTAGCCCTCCCATGTGTGTGATAAGTGTGAACTTCTTGAAGGCTTCTTGATTCAGTCCCAGCCACTGATGGAATGATGCTATCCTCGAAGTCAAGAGACCTGAGGGGTGGCTGCTGTTGTTTGGACCTGACTCTGACTCTTGTTGGTAACAAGCAGCTGTTGACAATAGTGAAGCACCTTCACCTGTTTGGCTTCGGTCTCCTTATTTAGAAAAATGAGAAAAGTGGCCCAAATGCTTTCTGAGGTCCTTTCCAGCTCTGGGTCTTCTAGGTTTGTAAGATTCCAGGTCCCTGTTCAGTGCAAAGTTCTGTACTAGAAGCTTTTAAGCATATAATGATGAGTGAGATAACGCTCATATCCTCAAGGAAGGGGGTCAGACAAGCCCATCAATGAACTATAACTCAAAGCAGAACCTAATAACCAGCAAAGTCCAAGTATTAGGAAGGTTCAAGTGAAGGCTAGTGATACCGTAACTATTGGAACAGAAACTTCTGGACCTTGTGGAGGAGATATCGCCCAAGTAAGCCTTGAGAATCAGAGTGTGACTCTGAGAAACAGGACAGGTAAAATGAGATGGCCAAGGTTGTAGGACTGGTCTTTGTGAATGTGTTGGAGAGGCAGCAAAATGGGAAACTAGAAGCTTGATCAACCTTCAGAGGTCACTTGTCTAAGGGTCTAGATCTAGAAGCAGCCACAGCAATGGAATTGTTCTAGAAGGATTTGTTTAGTGACCAAGGCTTTCAAAGACCATCCCATAATGAAAATAGTTGAAGAAAGATTTGGTATAGTGGTTAATTCATGGTGGACAATTCATAGTTGTGCACATGTTTTAAGGCAATACATATAATTATCTTAAATGCCTTTTCCCACCAATCACTGTGTTCTTTAGAATGAATATACTTCAACTCTGGAAATGATAATATTGAACAAAGCAGGTCTTACATATTCCTGGTAAATATATTTTCTATTGTACTTTCATTTTATTTTTTGAAAAATTTGGAGAGAAAGGGGCAGCAATTATTATTCCCACTTGGGAAGGAACACCACTTCTACTCTGGCATAATCCACAGTATGTAGGAAAGGATCTAGCACTTAACAGGGGCTAACAAATGTCTACTCATATTTCATTCTTGGACAAGCAGAGGTGGAAGAGAAAAGCAGCCTTCCTGTTCCATGACGGAGACAGATCACAGGTCTTCTGACCTCTAGATCTGGCTCCCATTTCTCTGCTCCTTTCAACCACTTGGTTTTTCCTTTTCATTGGCTTACCCAAATGATGCTTCAATTCCCCAGGAAAGCCAGGCTTTTAATTCAAAGTAGCTCCCACAAGTCACTTTAGCAGGAGGGGTGGTTTTGTCATCTGTCCTTGGTGAAGAGCATACATGGGTTCCAGGAGGCAACCACTCATCCTGGCAATGCCAAGAATATGTCTGCTGTGCCATAGGTCTGTGTGTAACTGCTCTCAAACTCCAGTCTCCCATCTCCTAACCCTGACAGATGCTCCTCCATCCACCCCATCTCCCCAGTTGGAAGACATCTCCCTGTTTTTCATGATAGAATATTCAAGAGAGGACAATGAGAGGAAAATGAGAATTACTTCTTTCATAAGAGAAAGCTTTTTCATCTTGGAGTCAAGACTCTGCAGTGTAATTCAAATCAAGAACAGTAGGGCCGGGGATTTAGCTCAGTGGTTTCACCGCCTGATGCGCAAGTGCAACGACCAGAGTTCAATCCCCAGTACCAAAAAAAAAAAAAAAAAGAAAGAAAAAGAACAGAATTAGTTCAAATTCATACTGTTGGTTTATCATGGAGAGATTATATTTTTACCTCTCTCCCCAACAACAAATATATATATTCTGGTGCCATTTTAAGTTGGTTGAGAACAGCAGTTATACCTATTTTTTAGCCACAGAAAATTTTTCAGCAAATTATCTTTTTTGTGTGAAATGTAAGATATGCTTATCATATAATATTTTGAAAACGGAAATGCACAAAGAAGGATATTTTCAACACCCATAATTTTGCTACTGAGAGATAATTACTGTTAGTATTTTGGTATCTGTCGATCTCAGTAATCCTTTTATATGTGTATGATTATCCGATAGTTATATGGATAGATAGATGATTGATAGACAGACAGATAGATAGACAGATACGTGTAGAGTGCGTAGTGGGCGTGAATTGGTATTGGGGTGTAGGCTGATTGAACAGTATGGGGTTTTAAGGAAATTTGACAAAGATTCTTTAAGTATAAATTCATGAAGCAGAGTAAATTACTACTAAAAGAAAAAGAAAAAGTCGTGTATTTTAGGATCAACCTTGCATGAGACAAGCAGATAAGAAAACCCTATAAAAGAGTTTAGTGTTCATGTCATTGTATATGTCACAAATATGTTTCATTACATTGGTCACAAATTACCACTAGTAACTACTATTTAATTCCACTAAAATAATAATAATTAGTGCCCCCAGTGAAGTCATTAGTAAAAAAAAATGAACTCTGGATTGCTTCATTAGAAAGGAGTGGGCAAAACATTCTTTATTGCCCAGAAGGTTCTGGGAGACTTCTTTCTGAGTTATCTCTGGGCCGAAATAACTCAAACAGTAGACATTTGAACTATTCTTAAAAGTTCTATTTTCTCAGGCCAGTGCACAAGATGCCAGAGGGTTCAGAGAACTCACAGAGGGCAGAGACAGGAACTTCAACCAGATATCAAAACTAACATTTTAAGTATGCCCAGTGAAGAAAATATATAGAACATCCTATCCAAAGCAAAAACACACAATAAACCTCTATAGCTTTTTTCCACCCCTTTGCCTCTCATAAACAGAGACGTATATGTGGGCACGCATGCCCTCCTCAGATTGGGTGTCACACATCTGTGCCTGAGATCCTCCTAGTTAGTTAGCACTGAGAGCCCTATATTCCTGCAATCTGAGCACAACAGGCCTGAGGGTCACCCTTCGCCAGGATAACCCAAACATGACACCCTACTTGTTGCCAAATGGAGGTCACTGCAGCCTACGGGGGTCCAAATTAGACGAACAAGTACTTTGTAGAACCAGTGTTTCTAACACTGGGAAATGTGGAAGGACTCTTTTTTTTCTAGAGACGCTCTACACTGTCTACGCTGCTGGCTGCCACTGCTGCTAAAACCAGCAGGAGATCAGAAAGTGAGAGCAAACCCCACTTCTTGGCTTTCTGTAAATCATTTTGGCTGCTTCAGCTGGATCGTTCCCGCTTTAATGTAAGGCATTCAGAGGCTGCACCATCTTGGGAAACAGCTGACCTCGCTTACTGCCACAGTAGCCCTGGGGACCAATTCCTTCCCTCTTCCTCCACTGTGGGTGAATATTAAGTAGGAAGCTCCACCTTTGTGTGTTTATTTATCTCTGAGCACAGTGAGAGTGTAGAGGATGCTCTAACAACTGTTCAGGGGTGGTAGGAAGTAAGACTTTTATTTTTCTTCCTTCACTCTCTGATGCAAACCACCCTGTCAAATGCTACAGACAGAAACCACCCTGAGGGGTTCCGGGGCTGGGAGGTAGAATCTGCAAAACCATGTCCCACTGACCTTTGAAATCATTCCTAATGGAAGAGAGGGTACACCCAGTCCTACAGCTAATCCTGTGCTCAGGGCAAGCAAGACCCAGCTAACTTTAATTCCAACAGATGAAGCCTAAAGCCAGTAGAGCCCGCTCCACCTGGAGCCTCATGGAAGGACGAACAAAGATGCTGTAAAATTAGGACCACATGTAGCACCTTTCCATGATAAAACCTGACTTTTCAAAACTGACGTTAAAGACAGTTGGGAACAAAACATTTCAGAACAAAAATAACTATTTGTATAGCCTACTCTAAGGAATTTGGCACATAAGTTGATATATACCACATCTTGCAAGAACTCCATCTAAGGGACAAAGCAAAGTATGCCTGTCTGAGGAAGCATGAGAGCCTGCGTGGTTTCTCCTGACAAAACCCAAGGTGAGGAATTGTAGCTGAAGCTGGGCATGGTGGTGCACATTTGTAGTCCCAACACTGGGAGACCGAAGCAGAAAGATCATGAGTTTGAGGCCAGCCTGGGCTATGCAGTGAGTTCAAAGCCAGCCTGAACTTCACAGCAAGACCTTGACTCAAAAGACTGAAAGAATTACAGCTGAAACCATGGCCTCTATCTTCTCTCTTTTCTGCCACCCTCCTTTAACCAGAACAGCACCTCCTGCAGTTGCCTCTCCCTAGCTGCTGTGGATACAGTAGTGCTTTCAGGCCAGAGCTCTTACTGCTGAGCTGAGAAGTGTCTGTCCAATCTCTTCTTCTTCATCCGTTTCCTCTGCGCTTACCTTAGCAGCATGCTGTTGATGCAGAGAATTCATCACCTGATGTGACAGCCCAAGTGTGCCTGGCACTAAGAAACTCTCATTTGCAACCCAGAAATACGCTGAGGTGCTACAAACTGGCTGATGTCAGCACGGGGTTGAGCTAGATCTGCATATGGGCCAGATGCCATTACCAGAGATGGCTGCAGCAGGGGTGAGGAGGTGTACGTGCTCCATGCTCTCAAGCACCAGGCGCTGGTGAGGCTGGCCAGCGGGGAAAACAAAGAGACACAGATCCTCTCTTCCCGTCTATGCACACACTCACGCATGTACATGCACACGTGCACTTGCACACACACACACACACACACACACACACCACCCATAATATATCCTAGCGACATCAGCTCACACAGAAGCCCCACCCTACGTTCATCCCTTTTTCTACAAGCCTAGGAGAACTCCATTTTCCTGGTATACTTAACTCT